CCGCTCTCCCCCCACCCCCGGAGGGGCTGGCCGAGGCACCGCAGCAGCAGCATGTAAACACAGGCAGTGTAAATTCACTGCTGGAGTGAGCTCTACAGCTGAGAAGTACACTTTTCAGTGTATGCATCCAAAAAAAAAGAAAATCCCATTTGACAACAGCACATTTCCTTTCTTGCATTCCTAAAAAAGGCCTTGGCACTACTACTCCAAGGCGAGGGGCTGGGGAAGGCGAGGGCAAGGTCAGCAAAGGATGCACGAACGCCAGAGTAAGAGCAGCAACATCAGCTTAGAGACATTCCCTGCTGCCTCTAAGTTTCCTCACTCCTCCCGGGTCTGAATTCACTAAATGGGGCAGTTTACAAGCGGAGCAGCAACACCAGACCTCAGCACCACGCTTTGGCACCGCAAATCTTTAGCGAGGGGTAAGGGACACATTTGTTCCCCCAAGACACACTGAGCGGGAGGCGGCAGGCGAACGGAGGGAGCTGCAGCCAGGGGATCCTGTAGCGCCTACGGCCGTAGCTCAGCACCCCAGCACTACTCGAGAATAGTGCATTAACATTTTTTTGATGCCACAGTTTTACATTCACGCTTAAAACTTGGGAGAACAAAAATACCTGTAGATCAGGAAGAACGGACTACGGTGAGCTCTAAGGACAAGACTAGAGGTGTAACGCCGTTACGCTGTGGACGTGAGCTAACTGGGACACGCCAGGAGGATGAAGGGAACAGATTCAACAAGAAGTTGGGTACCTTGAAGTGTCTTGGCAAAGATCGCAGCCCGAGACGGCTGCTGGAGACGAGGATGGCAGAACTATGCAGAGAGAAAAGGAAACCAAAATTATTCTCAGTGTAAGGTCCTGCAAGTCACGCCTCTGAAGGACGGGTATTACCATCAGCTTTGTCAGTGCACAGCACTGTTTGGTTCAGAAATTACCACACACGCTGCGCCATAAAGTCTTCAGCAAGAGCACTTCCCTGGAGGGATACTGGAGAACTGAAATAAGGTATTTCTAACATGACACAAAAAGAGACCTTGAGAAACCAGTGCCCGGACCGAAATTCAAGACAAAACCCCCCAGGGTTACAGTACCAGCACTGACATTTAATTTTTAATATCATCACCCTGGATAAAGTATCATAGGACCTTCCCTCCCTCTCCAGGCCTGATGGGGGATATCTAGCAAGGCTTGCAAACAAGTTGGATTTGTGCTCAAAAGCAAATGCCTTATTTGCAATTCAAATATGTAGAATCAAATTTTGCAACAACAGAATCTGCATTCAAGTTCTAGTGGGATGGGATGAGGCTATATCCCACCAGAGATGTTAAGTGAAAACAAATTCACTTCCCAGGCTGGTGTCCTGGAAGAATTTATAGGCCTGAACACGTCAAAGTGAAACACTTCAAGCAACCGGCGTGCAAAAAGGATGGAAAGGGTAGGATACGTGGCTCCAGGGAGGGGTACATTCAGGAGCTCACAGTGCAGTCAGAGCTGGAACTAGGGAAATGCTGTGCCAAGACGCTGCGCCTCCCTGGCGTCGCAGCAGCCCGTAGGCAGGACGGCACTCCCTGCCGTGGGGGTGGCTCGGCCGCGCCACACCGCCCCACCAGCTCTTTTCCAGCAGGTCACAAGCAGGGGCTCACACTGTGCCCAGCTCACCACGCTGCAGCTGGAAAAATTACCTAAGGGGATCCACTACAGTCTGCATTGCAATTACCATTATTTCCTGGATATTACATAGAACTTGTGAACCTTAAGGCTGCTATCGCTTTCGGTTCCTACCACAGCAGCAAGGAGTGGCCCTGAGTCACCCGTGCAGGGCTGCAGTTGCTCGGCGGGGGGTTCGCAAGAGCGGTGACGCTGCAGGAAGACAGACGGACGTCACCAAGTGGACATATAAGAATGTGAATCTGCTGGTGGGCGTGTGAAACCTAAGAGGAATAGTTATGAAGGAAAAAAAAACAGAGCAAGAGTCAAATGATGATGGAGAGGGGACAGAAGGCGTTTTTTAGTAAGAGTTCGTTATCTAGTTTTTTGCGAAGAGAGTTAACCTGATGAGCAACAAAGCTGTTGGCAGCCACGTAGAATCACTTACCATGTTCCTCTTTTTTGAATTTAATAACCAAGAGCTACTATACCACCTACCAGGCAAGGAAACACGTTTAAACTTCTCTTCCTTTCCTCCAAACAAAGTTTTGATGGCAAAATCCTATTGGGTTAATAGTTGCACATGTATTTACAGATTCCTTTTTGGGTTTTTTAAAACAATAATAATCAGTTTCTTGTATTAGTAGGCATATAAATACAAACCAAGCAATGGAATTTTACTACGGCCATTTCCCTTTCGTTCCTAAGCAGACCCCTTGAGCAACACTGGGCTGCGAGGGCTGGCCGTGCGCTCGCCCCATCCGCACGGGAGAGTTTCAGAGAGCGTGTCCTTACGGAGCAGAGTGCCCCGGTAACGGACTGCCAGCTCGGACAGTTCACAGTCCCTGAAGCTCAGTGGCAAGATTAGGAGATGCCTTCCTTTAGACCACACTGTTCTGGGTATCACTGCTGTGTTTTTTTCTTTTTTTTAAAAATTATTATTCTTCTAAGAGTGCTAGTTTTGGCAGGCGGAGAGGTTAATAAAAGCAACTGAGCATCATTAAGATGCTTTGAAACTGCGCCAGGTTTGGGATTTCACACACCTTTGCCTGAATCATCTGTCTGCAACTGAAGTCCCTTTCAGTTTTTAACAGCTTTTAGAGAAGCTGTACTGCAGCTGCGCTGGGAAACACGCTTTGCTTGACTGTCGCTCGTTTACCATTCTTAGCAACTTCTTTCACTCCTGTTCAAAGGACAAAAATCTGATGCCACAAAATGAGAGATTTCTTTGGAAGCGAGACGGGGAGCTCCTCAGACCATCATTTTCAGGAACTCAAGACGTACTACAATTTAATTATGTTTTATGCTACATATTAAAAAGCAATGCAGCTTCACCCTGAACCTCCAGCCTACGTATCTCAGGTAACCAAGGAATCGACCTCCTATCAGCCTGCTTGCTACCAGCCGACGTACATCTCCTGCCTGGGAAATCACCCGTTGACTACCACAACAGCTTTTCCACCTCTTGAGCTGTTAGGACTGTCTATAGCCTATAAAAGGACCTGCATTATACCCATTTGTATAGTATACAGTATATATAGCCTTTAGGTATAGTCTATCACTTACACAATCTTTACAGCCTGAGAGTTAGGTTTCTGGCATGGTAATGGCAGCTATTTGGTTCTTCACCCAGTGGGCCTGCTCCTATGGATGTACCATCTGCCCTGTTAACGTGCCAAATCACCAAGTAAACATCGTTTGAGGAACTGGGCCGAAAAACCTGTTATTTTTTCAGCAGTGAATCTGGTAAATTCTCCATTTCTGGGAAGCACTGAAACACTTTATGAGCTTGCTATTCACAAAGTTTGCAATTTTGAATCAATCAAAGCTGAAAACATTTAAATGAACGGAAGTCCGCAACCCTGCCAACCCAACCAATTAAACCTGACTTGTAAAGAGATCCGTTTTCACCCCCCAACGCGCCCTCCCGACTGATTTGAAAGTAGCTTAAAGTGCAATAAACACAAATAGACCTTTAACTACCACCTGTATAAAAACAGAACAGTTATTCTACAAAAAGGACAGGGTAGGCTAATAAATATGCTGTAACTAGTATTTAGAAAATGATCTATACTTACAAATATAGTATTTTTTCTTTATTTTTTCCTGTATTCGTCTTTGTTTGTGACAAGCAACTTGCTATTTCACTAGAACTTGCTTTCACCCGGAGCAGAAATCTTTTGCATCGCACCCTTCCGCCGCAGCACACCAACAGAGCAGCCTCCACCCTCCGCGCCGAGATCCCTGCGCACTTCCGCGGCACGCGTCTGTCTAGTTGGTTATATATTCTGGACTCCCAGCGTTCCAACATGACATTTTTTCCACTCTGCCCTCCAGCAGAGCATTTAAGAGGACGAAAAAGCTGTCCTCTGTTGAAAAGCTATGCGTGTGGAGGACCCGGCAAAGCTGCAGTGATAACTCAGAGGCTCTCTGAGCACAGCAGCGTTCACAGTTCCCTTCTGGGCGGTGCAAACAGCCACAAGCTCTCTCCTATGTCCTACCTGCGATACGCAGTTACCCAGAGAAAAAGAAGAAAAAGGATAGTTTCCTTAAGTTTAGAAGGGGAGGATATTTTTTTTGCTAACGGTAAGAAGCTGTTTCATAAAATATAGTTTATCTCAGTTCCCATACGTTACACTCTCTCCTTTATAAACTGTCCCTGCAGCGTCAGAATCCCTCTCCATACTTTTTTTCCCATAACACTCCAATCCCTGCTTGGATTATTGGCAACACAAGCAATGCTGCACAATTCCCTGATAATTTTTTTTTTTTTTTTTAAATTAAATGCCCTACTTCCTGCCCCCAAACCCAAAACACACACACATACAACCCACCCCCCCAACCACCGTCTCGGTGGCTCAGTCAGGATGGATTCACAGCATTGCTTACTCTGTTCAAGTGATAAAAGTTTTTCTTAATAGGCCACATAAAAGCTTTTGTATCACTGCCTTAGAAAACACACGCTCCCTGATGCAGATTAAGAATTGTAAAGAAACGGGATTCTGTGGAAAAATGGCACAGACCTAGAAAACCACCCACCTCCATTTTAATTTCAATATCCAGTGTATGCAGACAACAGGTTCTTTCCCTCCTTTTTTAAAAAAATAAAGCTACTTTCCTCTATTCAGTATCCCGATCGCAGGAAAAAGAAAGGTGAAGGCTGGGGGAAAAGGAGTGGGGAAGAAGAGGTGGGACAGTTTTCCATGAAGGTGGCACCGTATCAGGAAGAATCATTTCAGCCCAAGAGCCCCACTGAAACACAGCTTTTAGTATTAAACCAGTTCTTTGGAGAAACACGCACAATCCCAATAAAACAATGCAACTTTGCTTCTGTGCATGGCTCAAGAGAGCCGGTTTGAATTTGGTGGTAGGTCAGCCATATTCTGATGAAACACTCTCGTTCGTTCTCACAGTTTAGAGGTGACGTTTAGCAGGCACACTTCTTCTCCTCTGGTTTTGCTGAATCCAGCTTCCCCGAGCTTCCTCCGTTGGCTGTGTCGGAGACCTGTGTCTTGTCCACGCACTGCTCCATACGCTTCATTATCAAGTCCAGAAGCGTGTCCACAGCCTTCTCCACGTTCTGTCCGGTAGCAGCACTTGTTTCGAAGTACGGTATGCTGCGGTGGAAAGGGAAAGGTTTGCTGGAGAGACTTTTAAAGACAACCAAGACTCAGCTCTTTGTAACACTCTCAGTGCAGCTGTCGACGGTGGGTTTAGTGGCCATGGAATGAACGGGACAGAATTCTGCTTTGTCGGGACTCTATTTCCTTGCTGGGCAGAACCCAAACTCCTGTCCCTAGCACGTGGTGGCATGATGACACGAGCACAAAATGGCCACATGAATTTACAAAACTGTATCCTGGCATTTTGACTTCAAATAGTGATAACATCAGCACAAACCTTGGCTGAAAAAGTCTTTTGGGTAACCAGAAACCTAGGTCTGCATTACAGAACACTTCAGGGACCACAGAGCATACCAGAAGTCTTCTTTTTTTTAGGCAGATAGTTACAACTACTGCTATTTAGCAGTCCCTGTTAGTACTATCCCCCTTCCCTCCCTGTCTACTCATAAGCACAACTTAATTTAGCTGTTTCCATTCTGAAATCCCCTTTGAATCCTGAATATTGCCTTCCAAATCACCTTTTTCAGAAGAAAAGGTTATCAATTGCACCACCACTTCCATCATAGGAAATCTGGCATGAGCTACCTTCTCCTCAGTGTCGCTGTCCTCCTTAGCTAGCTGCAGACAACTCTTTAATATTCTCTGATTATTTTAAAGTCTAATTTGCTTACTACTCAGGCCATCTGCTGCTGCTGGCCCAATTCTCTCTGAACATCCCTCATTGTACAGTAAGGGCAACTAAGGAAAAAAAAAAAAAAAAAGCACTTTCTTTTTGCCCCACAGCACTATTTACTGACTAGAGTAACTATCAGCCAATTCATCTAGTTACAGGACACTCTGAAGGTGTTTTTAGTGCAAAGAAATGTAGAAGGCTCACTAAAATAAGAAAAAGGCCATGAACAGCTTTATTATCCATCAGGGGAAACCAAATAAATTCACCGCACACCTAGAACCTGACCAAAATCCACAGGTGTCTCCACTTCCAAACTAACTAGAAAAGCAAATTATAACTACTGTTATTTAGTTTATGACTAAGGCTGAGTGAGCCTTTGGTATACTCTGTCCTGAGCTCCCAGGACAAGCCAACATCCCAAGAATGTCGTTTTCTAGTAAGAATGTTTCATTTCAGCCTGATTTCTTATGTTGTAATACTACTAGAGCAGTGTGCTTCATTCTATTTCCTATTCAAGCAGGTCGATCCAAAGGTGTCACAAGTCAGACATCACTACAGGCGTATGCGATACTGCAATGCCTACAAACCTTAAGGTTTCTAAGTATAGTTGCATGTATCTCTAGCCAGTCATCAGCTACACTTACAACAGTTAGAGACTAAATTTAGCTTCTTTCATATTTTGCTTACCCATATTTGTCTGCCAGATCTTTTGCTTGCCTTTCGTTTACCTCCCTTTGGTCTGATAAATCAGCTTTATTACCAATTAAGACTATATCTGGGTTCTCACAATATGCATTGGCTTGCAGCTGACCTAGAAGCAAAAATAAACGGGCGTTAAAAGAACATGGGAAGCACCTCAGAGACCAAGACTGTTGACAAAATAATTAAAAATACCTTTCTTGCTCCCCAAACACATTTCCTTGTTGTACATTTACTTGCTAAGGGGAATTCTTCAAAATGGTAAGTAGAAATGGTACTAGAAAACTATTTCCAGTATTTATTTTACCAACATGCAACAAGACTTAGCTGCAACAAGGTGCACTAAACACAGTGCCTTAGCAGAGGAGAACCTCCACCAGCCAGAAATTTAATTCTACAAGACTCGTAAGGACATCGTGGCAGTACAAACAACATCCCACATCATCTGCAAGTGCAGCTCTTCAGAAGTATAGGACAAAATCCTGTTTTTCTCTTGGATACACTCAATGGTTTAAATGCAGTTTTATCCATTTGAAGATCCAGGTGCGAGTCCTGTCCACAGCGTCACACCTCTTAAGTAATTGTACAAAGCCATTTACTTATACTTGCCTCAGTCTTGAGGGGACTGACTTGAAAAGGTGCAGGATACACAGAAGAAATTAGAGACTCAGCTTGGTGAGCAGTGGAAGACTGTGATGACAGGGACTGTTTAGTGGGAGGAAGGAATCTCTGAAGAAGATGGAGCTGTTTTCACAAAGCTGTCTGGATTCTCACGTTATCCCCACTTAGCTTGTTGGCTGGAAAACTACCAGCTGGAAATGTACTGGCCTCTGTCCTTCCAGTGCTCTAAATAGCCTCAATTAAAAACAAACTTTAAGAATTTAACCTTTGTTTCGCTTTTAGTCTAGCTGTTGTCTGAAGGAAAACCAACAACAGCAAACACTATGCACTTTCAAACCAAATCCTCAAAGGCCAAGCCTAATTTTTATTTAAGCCTCAAAGCAGACAGGAAGGAATCACATTCTGCTTTACAAATAGAAAACACACCATAAAGAAAACAGCAATATCCAAAGTATGCTTTCCAAGCTCCTGTATATCAACTAAAATATGGGGTATGGCCAAGGAAACGTCGAACGCCATGAATTTTCAAGAGGCAACAGATTTATTCAAATTGTACCCAAGCCAAACAAGATTATCAAGAATATGCCCAAAGCAGTCTATCGTGCAAAAAAAAAAAAAAAAAAAAAAAGAAGAGCGTGTTTCTTTCCAATTTCCTGAAGCTCTCACCCCAAGTTACAGGCTGCAAGTACCCCACTTATGGCTGCACTAGACATAACTACTTCCAGTGAGCATTTTCCAGCTCACAGACAATGACAGGCGCGAAGCCTAGAAGCCTAAAATACACAAGAAAGCTTCAAGTCAACCGATAAATGCAAGCTTTACAGTTCTACTTACTCATCCAATTTCTGACATTTAAGAAGCTCTGTTGACTGGTGAGATCAAACATTAGTAAAAAGCCCATAGCATCTCTGAAAAAAGCTGTGGTGAGACTTCGAAACCTGAAGGTGGAAGAAAAAAGACAATATAGCTCTATTAATCCAAAGTGATCTCTAAGGTAAGCACTTTTCTGGCAAGCCTGAACCGACTAAAGGAAAAAAGAGATCAAGTAAAGCTTTTCTGAACTGCTTGTGCAAAAATTCTGTTTAAAAAAATATCTTGAAATCGGAAGAAGTCTGCAAGATTTAGTGGACATACATTCCCTTGGAAGTAAAACCAAAATAAAATAATCCTTGACTTTCATTTTAGCTATGATGCATCACACCAGTCAACATTTATTAATCGGTGTGTTAGTAATTTATCCAAGGAAGCTTATATGTGAGAATATAAACATTGCCAGTGACTAATCTGTTAGTTCAAATTCTGCCTGATTTAACCAAGAGCGAGACAGAGACAGAAGGGCTGGTTAAAAGGAAAAGAAAAAAAAAAAAAACACCAGATACTGAAGCATTTAGTGTATCACAGACCAGGGTGACAGAAATGGATTCACCTGCTGAGATTACACACCCTTAATCAATGGATGTGCACAACTCAGTATAGTCAATATTAAGGAAAACAAAGGAAGAGTAGGTGGCTGTAAAACCTTCTTTCCGGAAGGTATTTTTCTTGTCCTAAAATACGAGGATTTCTGGTATTTTTTACCTGAACGGCCTAATGGTTTTCCCAGAAATGTGAAAAAGTCAGAACTGCTTTCCAATGAGCTGAACGCTGTTACCTTTCCTGGCCGGCTGTGTCCCAAAGCTGGAGATGTACCTTGAAGGCTTTTCCTGGAGATCCATTTGGTCCTCTGCTGTTGTACACCTAAGGAGAGAGTCACATCCGTTCAGCCGTACAGCTCACGCTGAAATCCATCGCGCGGGTCACGGATCATTATACATTGTGGAAGCAATAAGTACGGAGTAAAAGTTCAGTCCTTCAGTAAAAGCTGACTCTTACTTCTAAAAGCCACTTCAGAGGGCTGCTTATAATAGTATTTAAAAACCCAGGAGCCACATGAAATATCTATGAAAGCTGCACTTTAAAGATAATTTGGTCATATTTAGTACTTCAAATTAGATCCCAATTCTTTAAAACTTGGCATAGCACAGTGCTGAGCAAGCTGTCTGTGCTCTGTTTCATTGCTGTTCTTACAAAATTTACAGCTGGCTGACAGGATTAACCACTATTATAAAAAGCTGGTTTTTCTTCATTAACTTCTGTTGGACATTAATGACTTCCTTACTAACTGCAACTGCAAATGCACAGTGCTTAAAGAAATCACTGTGACCTTTTGCTGGGGCTCAGTTCTTTATTAAACAGAAACAGGGTGTAAATTAGCTGGTGCAGTAAAAGACAGAGGGATAAAGTAAGTATGAGCCATTTTTGTTATCTGAGGCAGTTTAGCAGACTCTCAGCAAGTTTAAAAGCAGGCAAATACTTCCCTTGCATTTAGATCAAGAGAATGTGGACTTTATGGGCAGGTCTGCATCCAGTGGCTGCACTGACCTTACCCGGGGAAGCAGAACACTTCCTCACCTGCCCTCCCTGGGCTGTAAAATACAACATTCAGTTCTCCTGCACAAGCAAGTTAATATCAACTGGGGGTTGGACTAGATGATCTGTGGAGGTCTGTTCCAGCCTAGACTGTTTGTGGTTCTGTGGACTGATTTAAACTGTTGTGATTTCAACAGGTAGCTTCTGATTGCCACGTCCCTTTCTCTCCTTTGTGGCAGGTGCCTGATCTGAAAACCAGGAAAAGAGTCAAAGGATCAACTGCACCACCTTGGTGAATTAAACTGGTTTGCTGGAGCATGTTCCTGTAAATATTTGGCATGATAAACACTGCATCTCACAGGGTCATTTTTTTCTAATATGACTTTTTACACAACGGAAAGACGTATTTAACCTTTTGGATCTCTTTCTTAGAGGACAATTTATTAGATAGACCTTCAAGACATTTAAAAGCTGGTAATTGCATGTAAAACGTAGTTTTTCCCACAGTTATAAACCATCTTACCCCAAAATACACAGTAATGGAAAATTACGGAAGATATCTGTCTGCAACCTTTAGCAGAAAAGTTCAACCTTCTGGAGAGAATCCAGCACCCGTGTTCAAAACACGGTAATGAGCGTCTGACCAGCCAGGGGAAGAGTATTCCGGCAATTTGCATGCTCAGACATTTCCTTACAATAAAATTGTGGTTTTAATATTTTCCTCTTATTATATCAGCGCAATCCCACAGTGCAGAGACGGAGCCAGGCTCCGCTCCGACCTGAGCATCATGTTTAACTGGCCTGCACTTGCGTAGCGCTGATTATGAGAAATTTAAGACAGAATCCAGATCCAGGGTTCTTTTATTCAGGGGACCCCTTAACTCCCATCTTCCAGGCAGAGCCTGCACGCCCCTGTCACCATGGCAAACCTGATCTCGGCACAGCAGCCACAAAAGCTGGCAGTCATGAAAAAGTTGCCAGGGAAGATGAAGGCGAACAGGGGAGCAATGCCCGTCTTTTCATGGCATTCCAGTGAAATAACTGGAGCTTAAAACCTTTCGTTAAAAAGAATCAAATTTAAAGAGGTCTCCATCTTTCAACTGGGCAAGTATGTACATTTATTTATATTAAGGAGATGACTAAAATAATTGCCCACGGCCTAATATCTTGTATTTATTATGGTTTTACTGTTCAAGCAAGCTAGAGGGATTCCTGTTAGAAAGCCAAATTTGTCCCCTATCTTTAGCCTGTATCAGCTGTCAGGATCTATAAGCAGATATATTAGTCGCATTAAATTAAAACAAAGCAAGTGCGCTCTCATGTCCACAAAAAGCACCTGAACAACTCTCATCTTCTACTTAGCATCAGGAAACAGAAGCACGGCAGAGCAGGCTCGCACGCCTTGCGTTAAAAAGCAGGTCGATCCTAACCTAGGAGGACTCCTGATCACAGGCTCGGCACGCTCGGCCTCCAGCCTTGCTGCTGGCAGCGACTTCTTGCGCCTTCGCTAGTTTACCGTGTGATCTGGAAGTAAGCTGCAACTTCTGTGCTTCTGTAAGTGTCCATCTTTTCTCCTTAAATTATGAGTTTGGGGGCCAGAGTTATTTCTAGTCATAAACACACCTCATTTGCTAGCACTATGGAAACCTGCTCTTGGAAAGATCCTTTTATACCAATGTGTGATAAATGCACTTTACAATCCAACACCAGGCTAATGGCATTTTTCCCCTTTATCCAGGTCCTAATTACGACTTGCTTAAGCCAAAAACTAGACCAGGAAAAGCATTATCAACACGTGCTATACCCCACAGTAAAACTTGTTCTCAGCAGAAATTAATAAGGAAAAAAAAAAAAAGAAGGTGATATCATTCGTATGAGACAACTTACCACTCGTTTTTCCCGAAAATCTATCCCTACTGTCGTGATGAATTTTGGATTAAATTTGTTATCGGTGTATCTGTACAGGAACGTTGTTTTTCCAACCCCCGAGTCTCCAAGGGCCAGCAGTTTGATCAGATAATCATAGTCTCCATCAGTCATAGTGCTAATTTTTAGGAACCTACGTAAAGAGGAGAAAAAAAAAAATGGAGTTGGAGTTAACGACCCCCCCTTCTGTTTGTTTTTGCCTCATTTCTATTTTTGTTCATTGAAATGCTACTGGGGGTTGGAAGATATGTTTGTGTATTTTGAAAAACACTAATGCAAAGCTGCAGTGAAACTTGCCATTTCGGTGCAGGTGCCAGGAGATAAAGCAACTTACACTTTCCATTTTCTAAATAAATAACATTGAAGCTTAGAACGATACAAGTTTGGGACAAAAAGATTATTTTTGTTCTGAGGAGAACAATAAGGCCTATAGCAAACATAGGTATGAAACCTAGGGCTAAATCCTTTTGCTCAAAGTATTTTATTCAGAGTTTGAAGAAAAAGGGTTGTGCAGAAACAGGCATGAAAAGGAAACGCAGACGTGGCAAGGACTGTTCTCGGGGCTCAAGCTCCTACCAGTATTACATGACATTATCTGAGCGATGTATTTTTATCTTGAAAGAAATCTTTTTCCCCCTAAGAGAACTAATTAAAAAAGCCGAGTAAGCAATTACCCCAGGGCCACTGTTAATAAAAGCAGAGCGCTCAAATGCAGTTTTCTCTCCAGTATAACCAGATGAACCCACGGCTGCCTTGTTCTGCGAAGCACAGAACCAAACCCACTCCCCCGTCAAACGCTGTGGATCCTAATCGAAGAAGAAAGAAAAGCAGATGGCAAGCCCACCGCCGGGGTTCGGCTCCGTGCCTCGGTTAAGTGGCTGCTGGGATGGCAAGCGGGGGCATCTCCCGCAGCCCCAGGGAGCCCCCCGCCAACGGCCAGAGAAAGCCACAGCCAGCTTCCACGCCCCGACAGCAGTTGTAGGCTCTTTGCTATACGTAGCAGTGAAGAAGCTACCTCCTGAAGCACTTGTAAACCAAATATACATGTCAAAAAGTAACACAAATTTGCAGAAAGAGGAAAATCTTTCTCCTATTTATCCCGCCCAGGCAGGAGCTCCTGGAGCAAAGTGCATGCCGCAAAAATGACTGCTATGGGGTTTTCATGGCCCCACTCAACAGTTCCTGGCTTTTCCCAACCTGCTGAGTCAAGGGACACAATGTATTTGGGAGAGAAAGCCACACACAAAGGAGGGACAGCTCCTCAGCGTTTTCTTCTACTCTGGTCTTTTCCCAGTCGGCCAATGTGACTGAGCGCCTGCATTCAGGGTCACTTGGGCTCCCACCAGGAGAAACGCTCATCCTCCATCCAAAGCAGGGCACACCGTCTGCCAGCACAGCCCCCTGCAAGAACCATGCCACAGACACCCAGCCCGAGCACAGCACCTTCATAAAATTCCTTCCCAGCCTGGCCCCAAGCCTTCAGCCGGAGGAAGAGCACCCTTTCTCCAACCCAACTGCTTCCCCAGCAGGTTTTGTATTACTTCAAGTTCAAGGGGAGTGCCGTATTACCCTAAACCTAAAGCTTCCATTACTGGATTTACTTTATTAGTATTTGCTATGAAGTTCTACGGGAGAAGGAAAGGGACCTGTGCAAGAAATAGAATCACAGAATCATAGAATGTTTTGGGTTGGAAGGGACCTTTACAGGTCATCTAGTCCAACTCCCAAATAGACCTACAGAGTATTTATTCACACGTATGAAACGCCCTGACGATGAGACAACTGGAATCACATGAAACACCACCTAGTTTACATCCTGGTCTCGGCATAATTTAAGCCTTCTCTTTTTTCTCCAACATCTTGTTAATCCTTAGCACGGATGAACAGCTGTTGCGTTTGGATCTCTACGCTGAGACTAATTACTGTGGTATCAGAGCAGGAGACCTTGGGCCAGATCCCATTCATAGAAACTACTGCTTGTTTCAGTACAAGACCTTAATTTCCATCAGAATAAAACCTACCTTTCTGAGCATTTAAACCAGCAAGTACTGACCTGCCTTGACTAAAATAGCGACCTAAGCCTGTTCCGATTATCCTGCATTTCAACAGCTTTAAGGATAAAAAAGCTGGCTGCGTACTGAGCAGTTCCATCGTATGGTATTTATACCTTTGACAGATACAGAGCCGCCCAGAGAGGTGGGACAAGCTTTTGAGAAATTTGTCTTCTGATGATAAAGGTTTAACGAATCCAGAGAAAAAGGCCCCCCATCTGAGAGCACTGCCCTGGGCCAGGGAAGGCCAGAGCACCAACACAGCGACTTCATGGAAATGAATTCAAGGCCTTTAATCCTTCCCAGAATATCCCAAGTTTACCACAAGGCTCCACTGAGAAAGAGTAATTTCGCCCCAGAATTTGAGGATTATCAAAATCCAAGTATTTTTGACCAATGCAATAACTGTTTGTTAGGCATTTCATCCAACAAATCAGGAGAAGAAAGGTATCTTGGCAGATGGTTCCCCCCCAGATGCTTGACTGGTAATATGAAGTATTAAGTTGGGAATAGACCCTACTCCCAAATATCCATGTTCCCTGGGAGCTGAAGTTCAGCACTTCCTTGCTACGCAAATGGGCAAAGCAGAATATCCAGAATTCACCAGACCTGTAAACGTTGAGCAAAATATACATCAGACTAGGATGATCAAAAACCTATTTTTGTAAATCTGTCACGAGAAGGCAGTTGGCACTCCTATTCCCAGTGCTGGCTGCTTTTCCAGAAATTCCTGCCTGTTGGCACCGGGGGCTGCACAGGCGTTGCAGCCTCTCCCAGCCCGGCGCAAGCCAAGGCAGTCACCCCCGGAGCAGGGCAGGGAGAAGCCTGGGAACCGGTGTCTTTTGGCAAGGTTACTCCGACTTCGCTCTCCTCCTTCGCCGGACCGCGTTGGGAAGTAAAATAGTAATTGGTTGGACAAAGGGGTTTTATTCCTTCAGATCTTAACCTGAAGCCACCAAACAGTTTTCCTCTCCTTGACCAGGCATGTGATGGAGACAGGAGAAGCGTGCGGGGGGAGTTTCACAGACCAGACCGATCCTCTGCCTTTACTGTTTTACCACTTCCAAAACGCTGTAGCACGGCAAACTAAGTTCTTGTTCCACAGGAAATTTGAGCATTAAGATTTTAATTTAATTTAGAATGAAAGAGTTAAAATTACTACTATTACTACTATTAGATAAGCATCTAAGCATGCTTTTGAACACGTCTATAATTAACTGGATCTGAAAATTCTGAATGTCTCATTTTGCTTCATGACAAATGTTAACTTAAACAGTACGTACAAGTATGAAAATCAGACACCATATCTGAAACAAAGCAAGGATTTTCAGTAGAGGAGGTTTGGGGTTCTTAAAGAACAGAGACGTTATCTCAAGAAAATTTCTTCTAGCAAAACTCTGAGAAAAAACTTAAGCATTTTCTATTAAGGGGTTATTCACAAGGTATTTTAATACAAGTGCAATATACTTTATTCAGCTCTAGTTTTAAATGGTTCAATATATTGAGCTAGTGAAAAGAAACACCCCTGGGCTGCAATGCAAAAGTCTTACATCGCTCAAACAAAGCAACTCGAGTCACGATTTTCCATGACGACGTTCAAAACCACCCCTGTGCCTGGAACCTTAACCTTCAAGCCCTCACCAGCCTGAGAGCATCTAAATGGGCTTTAAGTTGCAATACCAGCAACGGTGATTCATCTTGCCATGACCGTGTCTCCAGCACAGACCACTTGCAGTCAGAACCAGCAAGGTCTCCCCCACCGTCTGTCCATCCTGCAAGCACCCACCAAGACCGAAACCAACTTTCCACTCACCTAATGCAATCTCACCCTCCAAGTCTGAGGCCCACACCCTCTCCCTAATACCGTGTCACCAATTAAGCTTTACAAAAACCCAAACAGGCCTCCTGACTGTCCCTCCCAACCCTCTCTGCCAACATGGCCAACAGCCAGAGGATGATAAATGTGACGTTTTGATGCTGTTCTTCCAGGCTGTGCATCTAGACAGAGCCCGATTTAAAAAACACTCTTCTGCTTTCTTGGCAGACAAGATTCCCATCTAGACCACAAGCAGCATCTTGTTTCTTGATTGATTATTTTGTTCCATCCCTATTTAATGTTCTCTTAACTGCAGTGTGAGAGATCATTTAAAATCTGGCGCTTGTCAGCAGATACTCCAGAGAACATTTTCTCGATAGAGAGATATGGCTTCACATAAACCAACCAAACCTTATGACGTTCAGTTACAGCCTACAGGGGGGAAAAGTAGACTCTTCAGGCAGGACTGTGGCAGCAGGAGGGCTCCAGCCCTTTGCACGTCTGTCGGTAACCCCTCCACCTGAAGGAGCAGCCTCAGCATGAGCCAGCAGCTCTCTCCTAAAGTGAGGCTGAACTCTGCTCCTGGAGGACCCACCTCAGTACACGGAAAGGGATGCAGAGGAGAGAAGCTCTAAGTCCCTTTTTTCTTCTTCCATTCGTAGTGCGTTCCTTAAAAACTGGGAGAAAGGCAATTCATTGAAATCTAAATTGGTTTTGAAAAAAATTCTTTTGGGCTGGGAACAAACTTTGCAGAAAAGTGGTTTCAATTCAGAAACTCTTTTTCATTCAAGACATTTATATGGCTAAAATATAGGCTAAAATTCTGATTAGCCTAACCTAAAACCACTGCCTGTTAGTCACGCTTTTAGCCCCTCGGAATTGGAAAAGATTGGAAAATTTTAAAACTTCTAGATTTCAAACTCTGCAGGGACTTTCCTAATCAAATAGACTATCTACTAGATTTTTTGATAACACATTTTCTCATTAATGGAAAGAGCTGTTGAAAGGAGTTCAACAATAACTTAAGTAGCTAACGGGAATATCATCCAAGGAAAAGTTATGTGCGCAATGAGAGAAAAGTCAGTTCCAGAAAATAAGATTTTATTTCCCTTGACACACTACTAGTTAAAAGTCGAACAAACAAAAATGTTGTATAAATAGCATTAGCTCTAGAAAGGGCAGGATATAAAACCACAGCGCACATATTGTACCAGCAGCTGGTCAGCAAGAGATTCGTTCCCTCTGCAGCAAAATAAATCAGC